ACAGGAGGCTGGAATGGGGAATGGAGCCAGGACTTGAACTCAGGCCCCGAGGATGGGATGCTGGAAGTAGTCACCGTGTGGGTCTCGTTGGCCAGGACTGGTGTGTAGAAGTGACTTGTGTGGGGAGAAAGTGTGTGGCCAGGGCTGGTCCTTAGAAGCAGCCTGTCAGGTGGGGAAGCAGTGGCCTGAGGCTGTGGCCAGCATTGCTATAAAAGGAGCTGCCATAGAGAGTGGCTGCTGTTGACCTCTTTTTTATTTCAGTTTATTGCTAGAACTTTATATGTTTATTACAAAATCAGTGAGGGTGTATATATTAAAAAAAAATGGGAGGGGGGATGGGAGGCAGCCAGAAGAATAAGAATTATCTTCACGTTTCCTAAAGTGCCAGGTTAATTTTATATTATATTTGAACTTTTATGAGAGAGTGAAATAGCACAGGTGGGCAAGGGCAATGTTAAGGAAAAAAGAAATAAAAAAAGGAGATGCCTAAGCCATAATGAGACAAGACACATCCACGGGAAAAGACTTCCCCCTGCTGTAGCTAAACTTTAATACTTCTAGAAAAAAATGTAAGGTTGGCCAACACCAAGATGAACATTGTGTAAAGAAAACAAAACAAAGCAAAAACCAAAACCAGCCCCGAAAGGCTGAAGGGGACTACACCGCCCGACAGGTGATCCAGCCACGTGGACAAAGTTAGAACGGAATCGATTGCTACTCAAGAATCTGGTGCCATGAGAGCTTCCTTGTTTCCCCTCACTTGGCCTACAGCAACGTTGAGTTTCATGGTTTCTTCCTTACTGTGTTGCCCCAGAACTGCTTCTAGGACCACACAGCAAGTCCAGACTCGACATGCAGGGGACATGGAAGTCTTACTCCCTCCAGCCCAGGGACCTCCGAGCCAGGTCCGCGGAAGTGTTTAAAGGGTGAAGGATCATGCTTGCTGGAATTCACTTTGAAAACAACTTGCTATCATCACGTGAACGCCCCTGCTGTGGGCATCCTCTGAGCTGGCAGGTGTAAGGAAATGGAATACGACTTCCCGTGTCTCACTTCACCACTGTTTTGGCCTTACTCATCCAATAGAGAAATGTGTCAGGTTCCCGCTTAGCCCCCAGGAGAGATCTTGAGGGGTGTGGTTTCTGGGTCAAAACGAAAGGCATGGCTGTCCTCTAAGGCTCCGCTGGCCAGGCGGTCAGTGGCCAGGAGACTTCAGCGCTGCCATTTAGAACGGAGCTGGTCCCAGAGCAGGGAGCTTTCAACAGCTTTACACAGACTGGAGTGGGCAGTGGGGGAGCACAATCCAGTCCACCCGGCGGGGGAGACCCGGCAGGGGAGTCGCTCCCACTGGTTCATAAACCTAAAACAGGATTAAAAATAAGAACCCCACCACCACCCCAAAAGTTCTCTGGTTTCCGGGGCGGGATTAGCGGAGGGAACAGAGAATCAGACTCCTCCTTTCCTGAGCCTGGAGCCAGCGCGCCCCCCACAGCGTTTACTCCCTGATTCTGCTCCCCAGCTCCCAGGCCACACCCAGGCAGCACCTGGGGGACGCTTTCAGGAGACACGGACACAGTTTCAGCTGCGACCCAGAGCAGATAAGCGATTCTTATAACAAATCATTTGTTCAAAACCACTCTTCCTATTTTCCACACAATACGCACAGTCCTTCCTTTTGTTGTAAAGTTACAAACAGAAAAGGCCTGTCTTTGAAAGGAAAGACATTTTCCGAGTCTCTATAAAGTGCAGCTAATTTAAGGCAAATTTATGTGAAATATAAAAGGTGGCTTATTCTCTCTATATACACATTTCCCAGTTTTAAAAGGTAAAGTTTCTTCCTCTCAAAAAAAAAGAGAAAAAAATGAAGGTTTTATTTCTTTTTTCTTGGAAATTTAAAAATGTAAGATCTGGCTTCAGGAAATCATAGATTTCTGAACATCATTATATAAGTAAAATGGTCTTTTTTTAAAAAAATAACTTTTCTATAGCTTCTTCAAACAAGTTACAAGGAGGCAATGTGTCTGCTACAGTGGTCTGAAGGACTGATGGGTAGGCGGAGGGTTATTTTGTGAGGTGAGTAGCCTTTAGGTATTCGGGGTGTATCTCCATTTCTGAAACAAGCCTGATGAAGCTAGACACCTACAGCGACTCTCAGCTCCAGGAATGAGTATCTCCCATCTCCATCAGAATCAAATGTCCTCAAGTGCTCTGGTTCTGGCAGGGCAGAAGCTGGGCCTGTGAGATGTCCTGGTAGGGCAGCCTCCCATCCATGTCCTGGCCAGTCCTGTGGAATCAGTCCTGAAGATCAGCGCTAGAAATTCCTGGCAGGGAGCTAGGTCCTGGGTGGGTAGCTTCCTTAAGCTGGTCACCACCAGGCTGTGAACATTTTGGCCAGGCTGACGGCTTTGACGTGGCGCTCTGAACTGGCCCTTCCTCAGGGTTCTCTGGAGGCCTGCCGCTCTCAGGTTTGTTTGCAGGGCACCGATCGGCTGCAGTTGCTCTGAGAGTTTGAACTGTCCTCTTTCTTTACACTTTGGGTTTTGAATGGTTCCGTTCTGTTGGTCACTTGACCCAAAGATTCTCTTTTCCGAGTGGCAGCTCTATCATCCTTCTGTTTCAGGTTCTCACTTTGTGGGTCCAGTTCTGATGTAACCGAAGGTGATGGAATGGGCTGGTAGCTTCCACTGGGCTCCACTGAGAAGTGCTGGTGCATATCATTCTGCAGTAGCTCCCTGGCCTTCTTATGCGCATCCACAGCCTTCTGTATTGCCCCCACAAGAGCCCAGCAATATGGACGCTGTTTAAAGTGTTGCCGATGGACCCTACACTGGTCGGAAGTCCCTCCACAGTGGACTGCAGGCTAATCAAGTCTGCAGCTGGCTGAACATTGGCTTCGAGGTGGTTTACTGCAGAGGTCAACAGTGAAATCTGTTCATCTTTTTATCCATTTCTGGGATGTTCATCCGGACTTTGTTTAAGCCCGTCCAGATGCAATCTTTTCAGGTTGTTTTTGCTTGGTGAGTAGATCTTCGTTAAGTTTGGGGATTTCTTTATTTTTATTTTTAAATTTTTTTTTTATTTTTGACAGGCAGAGTGGACAGTGAAAGAGAGAGACAGAGAGAAAGGTCTTCCTTTGCTGTTGGTTCACCCTCCAATGGCCACCACGGCCAGTGCGCAGCAGCCAGCGCATCGTGCTGGTCCGAAGCCAGGAGCCAGGTGCTTCTCCTGGTCTCCCATGGGGTGCAGGGCCCAAGCACTTGGGCCATCCTCCACTGCACTCCCGGGCCACAGCAGAGAGCTGGCCTGGAAGAGGGGCAACTGGGACAGAATCCGGCGCCCCGACTGGGACTAGAATCCGGTGTGCCGGCGCCGCGAGGCGGAGGATTAGCCTATTGAGCCACAGTGCCAGCGATTTCTTTTTTTTAAAAAAGATTTATTTTTATTTATTTGAAAGATGGAGTTACACAGAGAGGTAGAGACAGAGAAAGTCTTCCATCCGCTGGTTCACTCCCCAGATGGTTGCAATCGCCAGAGCTGTGCTGATCCAAAGCCAGGAGCCAGGAGCTTCTTTCCCGGTCTTCCATGTGGGTGCAGGGGTCTAAGGACTTGGGCCATCTTCCATTGCTATCCCAGGCCATAGCAGAGAGCTGGATTGGAAGAGAAGCAGCCGGGACTAGAACCGGCGCCCATATGGGATGCCGACGCTTCAGGCCAGGGTGTTAACCCGCCGTGCCACAGCGCCAGCCCGGGGATTTCTTGAAATGAACTTTCTGATTAGATTTCATTGTTCTACTTTTTCCCTTGAGGGCCTCCAGATGCTCCCTGGAGCACCCTGCATCTACACCAAGCCCACTCAGGCCGCAGCACAGGCAGCGAGGACGCCCAAAGCACGGAGTGGGTAACAGGTCTTGTGGCATCATTAAGTAGTCTCCCGGGACAAAGCGGGAGCGGTTTCCAGCCACACCGAATTCCTCTTCCTCCTCAGAGCTGGACTCCGTGTCCGAGTCCGGAGGCTCCGTGCGGAGCAGGCAGTGGCTGCTGGCGCCCTTCTTGGGCTTCTTTCTCCGGCTGTCCGCAGCCAAGCCGATCAAGGCATTGAGCTCTCTGCGTTTTTTCATCTTCTTGTGCGGGGTGAGCGGAGCGGCCACTCCTGAGCTGCCAGGTTCGTACCCGACGCCCAACTCCCTTGCTGCCTTGGAGCTGCCTTCCAGGGTGGGGTATCCTGGGCCAGAGCCCCCTGGTCACTCCCACCCTGGGGTGGGACTGACCAGAACCGCTGGGGGCTGGAGACTGGAGCCCAGAGGAAACTGGAACTCAGATTGGGGGCGGGGTGGGGGTGGGATGGGAGAGACCACATAGAGATGGCCGGGAGCTTGTGATCTAAATGGATTAAGCCCTAGGCGTGGAGTATCACAGAATGGGAAGGGGCATGGGGTGGGGGTGCGGGGCTGTGGGGGGAGGGCTCCAGACTCGGGCCATCCCGGCCTGCTGTTGGCCTCTAGAGATCAGTTGAGGGAGGGGCTGCTGGTGCCTGCAGCCCCCAGCTGTCAAGCTGATTGAGGAAGGAGGCGGGCTGAACAACTGAAGACGCGGTCCCAGTAGGGTGCTCTCCATCGCCCTCTCTTGACCAAACCTCACGTTGCACCAGCTGACGAGGGGAAATGTTTAACACTGAGAGTGTTCTCCCAGGCAGGGGGGCGCGCCTTCTGTAACAGTTTCCGGGGCTGGGCTGATGTGGCGTATGTGGCTGATGTGGCGTAGGTGTACATTCTTGTTGGGAGACCTGTGAATGGCCAGTTGTTTGCTGAGGGTTAGGGAGATTGCATATGCACATTTTATGAGGTGTTTACTGCATAAATGGTTAAGTAACTTGTCCAAGAGTACACACAAGAGAGCAGTGCGGCTGCAATCAAATCCTCCCCTGTCGGCCTCTGCATCCCTACTAGGCTACATCTTCGAGATGACAAGGACACGAGTGTGTCTCTCTTCCAGGGCCCACCATGAGGATTCTTCCAGGGCAGAATGAAAGCTGGGTTTCTGAATTTGTCCTGCTGGGCTTCTCCAGTGACCCCATATCCAACAGGCTCCTCTTCATGGTCTTCTTTCTCCTCTACCTGAGTTCAGTCCTGGGCAATGGGCTTGTCGCCACCCTGATCTGCCTGGACTCCCGTCTCCACACTCCCATGTACTTCTTCCTCTGTGTCCTCTCCTTGCTGGACATAAGCGCCATCACCACCACCGTACCTCAGATGCTGGTGCATCTTCTGTCTTACACTCAGACCATCCCTTTTGCTGGCTGCTGGCTGCAGATGTATGTGTTTGGTGCCCTGGGCCTGACGGAGTGCCTCTTCTTTGTAGTTATGGCTTACGACCGATACGTGGCCGTTTGCTACCCACTGCGTTACACGGTCATCCTCAGCTGGGGCCTGTGCACACAGTTGGCAGCGGGAACACTGGTCTTTGGTTTCATCTTTTCTCTGATTCACACGTTTCTCACCATGAGGTTGCCATACTGTGGGCCCAATGTGGTGAACCACTACTTCTGTGAAGGCCCCTCGGTGCGGAGCTTGGCCTGCGTGGACACCCACCTCATTGAACTGGTGGACCTGGTCATCAGTGTCTTTATGGTTGTTACTCCCGTCTCCCTCATCCTGGCCTCCTATATTCACATTGCCCTGGCTATTCTCAACATCAAGTCCACCCAGGGACGCTGGAAGGCCTTCTCCACCTGTGCCTCCCACCTGACCATGGTCACATTCTTCTACGTTCCAGCCACTTACATCTACATGAGGCCCAACTCCAGCTACTCCCCTGAGCAAGACAAGCAGGTGTCCCTCTTTTACAATGTTTTTACTGTCCTGCTCAACCCCGTGGTCTACAGCCTGAGGAACAAGGATATTAAGGCAGCTTTTCTCAAGGTGGTGGAAGTGTTGCCTAGCGACCTGGGAGCCAAGAGAGGCTGGAGACAGAATATGCAACACTGAAGAAAGGGACACAATTTGTAATGCATACAACCAACATTGTGTATTTCAACCAACACAGCACTTTTCAACAAAACAAATGTACACAAAACAAACGTGGCTGTCTTGATCAAGTTGTTATGTTGTGTAATAAATAACTGCAATAGTGGCTTACAGTGGTAGTTTATTTATTGCTTGTATTCCAGGAAAGTTGTAGGTTGGTCTTGGCTTCTGTAGTCTCAGATCCACCCTGAAGGAGGAGCCCTCTTGTGGAACATACCATTCTTACTACAGAGGAAAAGGAACAATGGCCAAAATATATGTTGTTCTTAAAGTTTTTGATCAGAAGTGACATATATTTAGTTGCTCATGTCTCATTGGCCAAAATGAGTCACATGGTCAGACTTGATGGCAAAGGTCAAGAAACCTTTTCTTCCTATGGAGAAATAATGAAAGTTACATGGCAATGGGCAGGCATGTGTAACTCCTCTACAGGGAGGGCAACAAATGACAAGGATAATAATACAATCTGCCATGATATCACAGAAACCGGTAGGATACCTGTAACCAACACAAAACATTTGATCTCTAAGTGTTATGGTGCATGGAAACAGTAGAGGGCCATGGTGATGTAAACAAGAAGTACGTGTAAATAAAATAGCTGTGGTCAGTATTGAAAGCTACCCTAGTGATGTGTGGGACCAGTACACTCCTGGACCTGACTTGGTGCGTGGAGTCCAATGTGGTTCATGGGGCTGACCTGGCATACTCTGCACTGTGCTGTGAAGGACACAGGACTTAATGTTCAGTGACCTGGATTTTCCTCCTAGCCTTGCTGTCTTGCTGTTTGTGTGAATTTACTTCCTCCCTCTGGGCCTCATAAATTTCATCTATAAAATTAACACCGTGAATTTAATGTTCTCCAAAGCTTCTTGTACCTCTAAAAGTCTATGTTACAGTAGGTGAAGTGGGCGTGGTATATGAAACTCAAAAGCGAGAAGCTTGTCCAAGTCCTCTGTCAACCACAACAGGAATAAGGGAAACACAGAGAAGCAAGAGATGCGGAAACCATGATGGGCAGCACTCGTGGCAGTGACTCTTACTCTTTCAAGAGAGTTAAATGACATACAGGGCTCTCTGAGAGCCTTAGCACAGGTCTTGGAGTTAGCATGGACATCGGGTTCCCTTTTAGGCCTCATTGGTGGCCCAGAGGTTGTGGAGATGAGTCAATTTCATTGCACTATTTATTTTTTAATTGATTAATTATTTGAAAGAGACACAGAGAGGGAGATAGTTTTCATCTGTTGGTTCATTCCCTAAATGCCTGCAATCATTAGGATTGAGCCAGGCTGAAGCCAGGAGCCCCAAACTCAATCTCCCATATGGAATGTCAATGCCCCAAGTGGCGTCTTAACTGCTGCACCCATCATCTGCTCCAGTTCCACTATTTCTTGAACATTCATTATAGTCCAGCTAGTAACAAGTCCCAGAAAGAGAGAGAGAGATGGTGAGACAGTCATGAAATTATAATATCACAAGCCTGAAGATTCTGCAGTTTTTTGAGGTAACCAATGATCTAATGGGACTGAGGTTCTCTCTGTAGGTGGCAGACATGGAGGATCCCACATCAATCCACCATTGTGTAGCTCAGCATTTGTAAGCTCTCCAAAGCTTGGCGGTAGGGAAGGTGCAGGATGACATAAACAGAAATGCATCCCTGCAAAATTCACATGTTGAAGCTCTAACTCCTAATGTGACTGTTGCTGGACTGAGGACGTAATCAAAGTGAAATGAGGTCACAGATTTGGAGCCCTAATCTACTAGGATTAATGTCCTTAGGGCTGGCGCCGCCACTCACTAGTCCCGGTTGGGGTGCCTGATTCTGTCCTGGTTGCTCCTCTTCCAGTCCAGCTTTCTACTGTGGCCTGGGAGTGCAGTGGAGGATGGCCCAAGTGCTTGGGCCCTGCACCCGCATGGGAGACCAGGAGGAAGCACCTGGCTCCTGGCTCCTGGCTTCGGATCAGCGCAGCGAACCGGCCACAGCACACCGGCTGTAGCGGCCATTTAGGGGGTGAACCAACGGAAAAGGAAGACCTTTCTCTCTGTCTCTTTCTCTCTGTCTAACTCTGCCTGTCAAAAAAAAAGATGTCCTCAGAAGAAGAGATACCAGAGAGCTTGTCCCGCTGCTTCAGCCTGTGAGGACCCAGGAGAAAGCAGCCAGCTGTGAACCAGAAAGAGAGCCCGCACCAGAATCTGACCATGCTGCCATTCTGAGCTCAGACTTTGGCCCTCAGACCTGTGAGAAAATAAATTTCTGTTATTTAAGCCACCTGTTATGTCAGACTGAGCTGGTTCATATATAGACCAACTGCAAGAAAAGTAGTATTATTTCTACCAGCAGTAGAATGAGAGCTTGAAATAGAAATCAAGTTCAATTCTGAAAGTGAATTTGAAAAACTCTGAAGGGAAAAAAACCCAGAGCTCTGGGATAGAGAAAAATGGAGGATGGTAATTACTTACTAGGAAAGAGCTAGAGAAATGGAGATGGGGGCAAAGCTGGAGGTGTTTTGGATGACCCTGTGCCTCACGTTCCCCGTGGCTGTATTCTGGATTTCCAATCAGGCCAGCTGGCATGAGGATTATGCTGCATAGCACAAGAGGGAGCTGCGGCCACCTGAGAAGAGGGTCAGCACAAAGAGCTCCAAGAAGTCAAAGGCAGGACCCGGAAGCAGCTGGGGGAGAAGCTCCTTCTCACTGCCCAGCACGACTCCTGTGGCCTCTGAGTGCTTGAGTCCCAGCTCCCCAGTCCACCCCACAAAATAACACAGACCCAGGTCCCTGCTGCTAAAAAAGACTAATAAGGTTTTAGAATTAAGGGGGGGGGGCAGCACTTGGCATAGCAGGTAAGGCCTGCCTTCAGTGACAGCATACCACATGGACGCTGCTTCAGGACTCAGCTGCTCCACTTCCTATCCAGCTCTCTGCTATAGCCTGGGAAAGCAGTAGAAAATGGACCAAGTCCTTGGGCCCCTGCACCCAAGTGGGAGACCTGGAAGAGGCTCCTGGCTCCTGGCTTTGGATTGGCGCACCTCTAGCTTTTGCAGCCAAATGGGGAGTGAACCATCAGATGGAAGACCTCTCTTACTCTCTGCCTCTCCTTCTTTCTCTGTGTAACTCTGACTTTCAAATAAATAGATAAATCTTTTTAAAAAGCATAGAAAATCTTTTCTAAAAAAAGGAATTAAGGAGGTAAGGTTTAGTTTATACCCAAGGATGAGAAGGAACCAGCCAAGAGAAGGGAATTTCAGGCAGGGTACACCAGGTACAAAGGCCACAATTAGGAAAAGACTTGGCATTGTTCGAAGAGCTGGAGGAGGTTTGTGTGGTCAGAGTAAAGTTTTTGGAAGTAGAGCTATTAGGGAGTTGGACAAAGGCCAGGTCCTGGAGAGCCCTGTAGAAAGTGCGTACTTGGTGCTGAGTACAATGGAAGTGCTCAGATTCTGTCTGGGGATGTGCTACAGTTTCAGGGATGACAATCCCAGTGTGATTCTGGCTTTAGGAAAGGCGACTGGAAAGGGGGAGGCAGAAAAGAAAGAAGTCTTTCAGGAGACTCACAGGCTGGCAGTGAGGCTAACACACCCCCCTTTGGAAAAACCCTGGGGAGAATTCGAGCTGGAAGCTATTGGAGGGAGGCTGTGTTTTTCCTGTTTTGCTGGAAGTAGATGTCAAAAAGAGGAATAACCAGGGAAAGGAAGAAGTGAGGAGTTGGGCAAGGAAGTGATGAGTGGAGTGACCAGTGAGAAATGGGGTCTGGGGATGACGAATGCCTAAGAGCTCTGAATTTGTCTCTGCTACTTGTGCATAAATTTAGACTTGGTGAGACGGTCCTGAGTGTTTACCCAGAGATACGGCAGGACTGGGCTAGGCAGGCGATCTGGGTGGGTGGGGACAGATGATGCACCCGAGAGCTCTAGGTACTGGGATTCAAACCAGAATGGTGGTTCTGGGCTCTACAGCACCTGGCCAGTCTGTCCTGATCAGTCTGAGGAGTGTGATGAGGTCTTATTTGTCTCTCTCCCAAGACAGAGTATAATAGATTTTGAAATTAAGGATGTTAGTTGATTTCATCTTGAAGGTGATGAGCAACCTACTTTGTTCCAGGGGTAAGGAATGAAGTGGAGGAGGAGTGGTGGCACAGTGTTTTCATAATGGCTTATGGGACTGAAGGGGTTGGATTGAGGAAGAGGACTGAGTAGGGAAAACCTGGGCACAATAGGGGAAGATGTCAGGCTTGGATGGTGGCAATGAGTGGAGAGATGCGCAAGAAGCAAGAGCACGTGGTGGTTTGGATGTACTGGTGGAAGAAAGAGAGATCAGGGAGGAGATCAAGGTTTTCAGTCAGTCCTACCATTGTCTCTGCTTCCCACAGCTCCCGTAGAGGGGCAAATTGACTGTCAGCTCTCATCCCCTGATACATGGCACAGCTGAAAGAAGTCATAGCCTCTGTTCTCATGGGAATTACAATCCACAAACCAGCACCATTCATAAAAAGCACAGGCGTATTTAGGAATAGGTTCTATAAAATATTATTGAATAAATTCACTATTTGAGTTGGTGTGTTTTTTTTTCTTGCTTTCAACCTTTATGTTTCCTTTTGTAAAAAAAAATATTTATTTACTTTAAAGTCAGAGTTACAGAGATAGAGGGAGAGACAGAGAGATATTTTTCATCTGCTGGTTCACTCCCCAAATGGCTGTAATGCCAAGGCTGGGCCAGACTGAAGCCAGGAGCCAGGAACTCTATCCAGGTCTCCAACGTGGGTGGCAGGGGCCCACATACTTGGGCCATCTTCTGCTGCTTTTCCCAGGCCATTAGCAGGGAGCTGGATCCGAAGTGGAGCAGTTGAGACATGAAGCAGTGCCCACATGGAATGCCAGCATCACAGGCAGCAACTTTAACCCCTACACCACTACGTTGATCCCTGTGTCTCCTTTAACAAAGCAAATGGACATCGAGTGGTTGAT